ACTTGTTCCTTATGTTCTGCCACGTAGAAGAATCCAGAAGTCAAAGAAGTCTGAAGACCTATCAGCTTATGAAGAAAATGTCTGAAGACATAGGATTGAGTTTCTGATCTCCAGGCTGAGTGTGAAATCAGAGGAGCGAGAAAGGAACCGTGACCTACCTTGGACAATGATGTATCAAAAATGCCAAGCTAGAGAATCTGATTAAATAAACTTTCAGCTCCCCAAATGGCTTTTCATGCCATATTTTTGAGTTTTAGGAATAGTCACTCCCTAGACATTGACTACTGAGATATAATTGAGATATAATTCACACCCCAAACATTTTTGCCCTTTAAAAGTATACAATTCTGGGGCCTTCCTGGTGGCACAAGGAGGTTAAGACACAGCACTATGAAGCTATCCGCAGCCACTGCAGCACGAGTTCGATCCCTGGCCAGGGAGCTACCCACATGGTACAGCATACCTCTCCTGTCTCGCCCGCTGCTCCCCTCAGCCTGTTCTGCTCCCCACTCTGTCTCTGGTGAATCCTCTCACCCCCTGCACCTCTGGCCTACACCCCAGCTCTCGTATACATCAATAAATCTTTTTTTAAAAGTATACAATTCTGTGGTTTTTAGTCAATATACAAGGGGTGCAACCATGCCAACACGATTCCAGAAATTTCCATCACTCCAAAATGAAACTTTAGACATATTAGCAGTCATTTCCAATTCTGGTCACCAGAGACAGAATTAACCACAGGTATTCACATAAAAGCAGGTCCAGAATAATCTAGAAACACAGCTCTTGAAACCTAGAGTTGAGAGCCACTGAAGCCCACAGATGTGTGGTCGCCTGTCTTCCTGGCCCATGGAGTGTTGACTGAGGTACCCCAAGAGCTGACCCAAGTGTGAAGGCTACTGTGCCTCAGGAGGCTTGGCAGGCAGCCAGTGCACAATGGAGCGCTCTGAAGGGCTGTGGCAGAGTCGGGAGGGACTCTTGCTCTTGACCCACATTTTGCTGGGTCCACAGTTGTTTTCACACAGCATTTTAAAGACATTTTTTGCCACTGTCTTTTGTACTCGGGGCTGCTAACAACCAATATTCTTTTCCTCTCACACTCTCTCCTTGGGTGAGCTCAGTCCAGTGTTTACCGCCTGTGCTCTGTGACTTCACACTGCTCCTTCCTTCCTACCCAGTTACCCCTCCGGAGGTACAGCTTCCATCTCATGCAAGTTTCAAAGTCGTCTCCCTGCCTGCATCTCTGCAGCAGTGTTTGCTGAGTTCACAATCTTCCACCTTCCTCTCATCTCTTTTTAATCTAAATATCATCCACACTCTAGGTGAATGAAATTCAAAGTTCAGGAACCGAATTATGGCACCCTCCGAATCCACTGTCCTCAGGCAATGGAAAGTGTCCTCTAGAGATCTGCGTGAACTGACACTGTCTGTTGCGTTCCCGTCACCCCAGTCTCTCTGCTGTTTCTCCAGCAAAATCAAGAACACTCCCACTTCAGGACTATGGCCCTGGCTGCTCCCTCTGCTGGAAGGCACCTCCTGCAGGTTTTTATCAAATGTCATCAGTGAGTGAGTCCTCTCCACAGATCTTTTAAAACTACTTTTCCTAACCTTTTTTTGCTTGCATCATAATACCAGTATATACTTGTTCCTTATGTTCTGCCACGTAGAAGAACTGGGAAGTCAAAGAAGTTTGAAGACCTCTCAGCTTATGAAGAAAATGTCTGAAGACATTGGATTGAGTTTCTGATCTCCAGGCTGAGTGTGAACTCAGAGGAGTGAGAAAGGAACCTTTGACTTTGTGATTAAGATCTAGTAATTACCAATCCTTTCATTGGCATTCAGAATAGTTCAGTAATAACTGTTACCTTAGAACAAATAAAGCAGCTGTGTAATAAAAGTATAAGAAGGCACTATTGTGTCCATTTAAGTGGACCGTGATGATCCTTGGACATCAGTAACTGTGAGCGCCCCACCACCTTGAAGTTAATTTGTGACAGTGACTTGAGTTACTTCGGCCAGGTTTAGAGAAATCCATTTCCAGTACTCTCTGAATGCAGCTATGAATACCCTGTCCGTTTAGCATTTATTCTATTTTACAGTTCTAATTACACCCTCGTGACAAAGGATGTCAATGCCAAAACCAAGATCTTGTGTTAAATTCTTTAGGAAGCAAACATCCATAACATTTGTGAAGATGTGATTGGTAAAAGGTGTGATGTTGCAACTGAATCTGGGATGAACATTATTTCTGCTTTTGCAATCAGCCCTCAATTTTCAAAATTATGAAAGCAAACCCAGTTTAGATCTAGCTATAAAAATGATAAAGCCTTAAACGAAGAACTGCATATTTCTTTTAAGTCCAGAATCAACCAAATGGCCAAGCAGATGGAGATTTAAAACAGTACGAATTCTGGGGGACATGTGAGAAGAATGAAGAAGATGGAGAAAGTGAAAAGACTGCAGAAAATTATACCAAACTTCCCCTTACTCCCTTCCTCTGGCCCCGAGCACTCACCCTATGTTCTTGACACAACTTGGAAAAAATGGGGAGAAAAGAGCTTTAGAATGAAGAAAGACCTCAGTGTGAATCTGGTTCTGGCTTCTTACTAATCTGAATCCCACCTCTCGAGTCATACTCCCTCCTTGTACACACTCCTCGTTTCACAATGTAACAGGCAGAACCTCCTTGCGCAGCCGCCCTGAGAAGGAAAGGGTACAAGCGCGGAAAGCTCTGGAACTCCGGTCCCCGAGGTCCTACAGCCCATCCCCTCCAACAACGCCCTAAGGCCTCCCCACTCACAGTGCAGACCAAGGAGCAACCGCGCTGCTCTCTGCAGGAGCTCGTTAGAAATGCTGATTCTCGGGCCCCTCCCCAGACCTGTGACTCAGAACCGCAGTCTACCAAGTCTGCCCTGGCAGCGTGGGCAGCACGGCCTCCGGGGCCCCATGATTCGCTCCAGCGGCACGCGGCAGTGCTTAGGAGCCACCGTCCTCGGATTCTGGCTGCGCCAGGACAGGGCTGTGCTCTGGGGGCCGGGGTACCAGCGCCTCGTGCTAGCACGTCGGGGCGGGCCTCCTCGTGCACTGGCGGGCAGGGCGCGGCGCGGGCCAGGCCGACCTTCACCAGGACTTCCGCTCCGCTCCGGGGCGCTACTGACGCCAGAGGGAAACCCGACGCAGAAGGGTGGCCGCGGACACTTTCGCTTTCGGTTTAGAGACGTTGGCGAGGCAGCGAGTGGCGTGAACGGACGTCAGGGACGGCGCCCCTCCCCCCCCTCGGGCGACACGGAGACGCCATGTTCCTCGTGCCCCGAGGCCCACGGGCCCGCCGACTCCCGGCCCCAACCTTTCGGAGGCCCAGCGACGGACAGCACCTGGGCATGGGGCAGCCGTTGCCGCGAGCGATGGGAAGAAGGCGGCGGCCGCGTCTCTGGAAACGTCTCTGGGCTCCACGCGCCCTTCTGGTGACGATGAGAGAGAATCCGGGGACGAGGCCAGAGGCGATGCGCAGGCTGACTGCCGCACGCACGGGACGTAGCCCGGGGACGTACACGGGGACGTAGCCTGGCCACGTAGCGTGGTAACGTACACGGGGCCGTGTGTGGTCACTACGTACAGTGTCGTCAGCGCTTTGGGCAGAGGAATGATTCGCGTCTCGCAGGGACATCGTGAGATTTCATCTCGCTGCGCAGAGTGGCGGCGGATTGAAAATGTAACAAGTGGTTTGTCTTTGCAGCTGGTCAGCTAACGGTTTCCAACCCGCTTTGACCGCGGAAAGCGAAAGCACAGACGAGGAGAGACGACAGTAGCTTGAATGTGCACCAAGCACTTGTCCCAAATGAGTGTCTGCGAGAATTTGGTTCCAACCAAAGACAAGCAGAACCTACAGTAAAGAGGGGGCCTCTCTCCAATTGCACTGCTTAAAACCATTGTTTAAACTGCTCTATGGAGGCTTCCTTTCATTGAGGTGTACCCAGCATTGCCCCAAATTACTGCGTTTGATTTGTATCTGTTGAAACGCCCTTTCCCAAGGGATATCAAATCCCTTAACGCAGCTTGTAGATTCTGTAACTAGTGAATACTTATTAAACATGCCTAAACTGACATCTGCACACCAGTTAAAAAGAGAATTATCTGTCTTCTTGGACAATGGTAAGATTATTTTTGGAAAATTCTGCCACTTCTAGTTACATAATACTGTTGTAAAATAAGAACTGGTTAAAGTAACACACTTCCTTAATCTAGAACTTAAGGAAATGAATGGTGGTGGATGGCTGTGGAAATTCTCTTCCACCTGTTTGCCCACCACGGACCAGGCGTGCAGGGCCTCATCTGCACAGCCTGGACAGTTTCTGGCACCACAGTCACTGGTTGTCAGTAAACGTGCAGAGAAACTTACCTTTGACAAACCAAATCTTAGAGGCCAGAAGCCCCTGAGATACTAAAAAAAAAAAAAAAAAAAAGGCAAACCAGGCTAACTGCACTTGTTCAGATGTTTGGAGTTGACAGCAAAATCGAATGACAGACATCAGCTTCTGTAAATTGGTACTTTTTGCTTTTTTTGTGTGTACACTGTGCCATGGAATGATTTATAATCTACTGCTCAGAAGTGCTTTTTTTGTTCTTACATGGTTTTCCAAAGTCCTTGTATAAGAATCTGATCCAGAACTTACTGAAATGTATTCAATACACCTTTATATGACTATAACCCTTAAGAACTGCAAGATTTGGCAGTTTAGAGAAGTAACAATTTAAATGCTGACAAAAGGAGAATCATGTATAATTTTTATAAGACATTTAAGTCACATTTTTATTTTTTTTATCTTTTTTTTTTTTTAGATTTATTTATTTATTTATTTATACAAGCACTGGGTACAGTCAGAAGCTCGGGACGGTGAGAGAATTCACCAGAGTCAGAGCGGGGAGCAGAGCAGGCAGAATGACCAAAGTACACTGCTGAGGGGAGCAGCGGGTGGCAGGAGAGGTCTGCGCGCCATGCGGGACCCTCCTTCAGTGGCCGGGGAGTAGCCGGGGATTGAACCGGCACCGCAGAGGCTGCAGGCAGCTTCACAACTCAGCGTCAACCGCTGCGCCACCGGGGAGGCCCTAAGTCACATTTTTAAATGATGAATTATTTGAAAAATGATTAGTACTACACAATACAAGAATATTTTGAACAGTTTCTTAAAATCCTAAGTGGCAAATGATCAGCTGTTAAGGAGTTGTGATTAAGAAATAACTTTGGGAGGAGAAAATGATTTTTCATTATTGTAAACTCAGAGCATATAACTATATACATGTTCCAAGAGAGTCTGTGTTTGTTTCACTGGGAAATTTAGCAAGTAGATGCTTGTCATTTTTCATCTTTTGTTTTAGGGGCCATAACACAAATTAAACTTTCTCGACAATTCAGAGCACACTGTAGGTGTACTGGACTTCAACAGGCACTGCATAAGCCAAATTGAGATGAAATCTAGCACGAACCCACCTCTTCCTCTTGGTTAGACACCAAAAACCTGAGTCTCACTTGGCAACCAAGTGCACTTAGCTGTTCTCTACTCCAGGTTAGAGTCCCTGATTATCACTGGTCAATGTATACACTTTAGTGGAATCTATAGAGTTTTAAAAACTTTGTGGCCCTTGTCCATGACCAGTGATGTTCACAGGTTAAGATCAACTAAGCAGGACTATAAGAAAAGGCAGGTGCTCTATTCATGGCTTGTAGGGTACTGGCAATGGCATAGGGCCATTGATCTCGCTCAGCCCAGAGTATGGCTACAAGACAGTGAAGAGCTGTACCCACTTCCAGGAACCACCTCCCAGTCGAGCCACCGAGTGAGGCAAAATCAAAGAAGGAAGAAAACAAAAGGCCTTGACAAAAAAGGCACAAGGGTGAAACAACAGGAAACAAAAAAAGTTATGAGTCAAGAGGTTGTCTTCCTGTTCCCCAACAATAAAGAGGACAAGGCCAGAGTAAAAACTTCTCTCCTGATTCTTTCAAACAAGATGGGCAATGCTTTATTTAGATCACCAAAAATAACATTTAACAGAAAGAGAATCATAACATTACACAACAAAGTATAGCTGTGCAATCTCAAACAAGACGGGCAACATTTTATTTAGATCACCAAAAATAAGGTTGGACAGAAAAGGAACTGTAAGAAGCAAATGTATAGCTGTAAATTTTCTTTTACCATGTATCAACTCCCTCTAAGATATTTTGGGACTCCTTTGCAGTTTCCAAGAAGAACTAACATTTGTTAGACAGAGCTCCAAAACTGTAAAACAATTTTGCTTAACGCTAACAAATAACTGTACAACGGGTTATTGCTAACAAATAACTATAACATCTACTCCAACAACCTACCCTATGCATACTCATGAATGTTTCACTGTCAACAGAGCTGCTCTTTTCCTGCCATGACAGACATATACAGGGACAGGGGTCAGGCGTGGGAGCCTGTTCAGGCTCCGAGGAAGCAATCCTTAACAGGAATACCTACAGTGTGCAGGAACTCAAATAAATGGGCCTGTCTCTGCCAGAGGACCCTACTCCCCACCCCAGGGTAGTCATCCCATCTGCTCTCTTTCTAAAGGTCCACCATTGCCCGCTCTTCCCTGGGAACCTAGGTACAAAGCTAGAAAGAGAAGCTGTTCCTCCAGAAGCTTGAAGCTTTAATAGATGGCCCTGGGGTTCTTGGTGCTGTAGTGCGCCTCACAGGCAGCCACATAGGCAGACTCTGGGAAGAAGTCATCATGGTATTCTGCTAAAAATCTGGAAAAATAAATGGTCCCAGTGATTATCACAGTAAGTAAAACCAACCAGTAAGCAAAAGCTTAACTTATAACCACTCTAACATTGCACTCTTTCATGACATGAGGAAGAAAACAAAGTGAATTTGGACTTGATTTCTATAAACTGATTACCTACATAGCAAAGACCTGGCTGCCATGCTCATTACCATTTCCTGGAACCCTTCACTAGCATCAAGTTCTAAAAATAGAACCTAAACTCCGATAGGGGGGCAGTCTTGATTATATAAGCACTTCTGTACAGAAGGGGGACTCTCTACATTTTTCCTGTTTTAAAAACAGTATAAAACAATAAATTATAAACCCAAAAATACCACTTGAGAAATATAAAATGCTTATACTGGGAAGGGTAAACCAAAATGGAATGGAATAACTAGGAGAGAATTCTGGATCCTAATTTGCTACACTAAAAGGTATTACAGTTCCAGCTTACAGTGCCCAAAACATCCACCAAGAAGACAGACTTCTGAGTGACGATGGGTGTTTAAATGGAGTCAGTCATTCCAGAGTCTGCAATTCATTTGGCGCTGAAGTGTCAGAGATTTCACCATGGAGGGCCAAAATATTCTCACATAGGCCAAATTAACTATTAAGCTAATTAGCTTCATGTTTGTCTCCCTGGTCTTGTCCAAATTCCTAAAAAATGAAGAATCAACTTCTGAAACAGTTTCTTCAGTAAAAACTGAGTGAAGGTGCAACAGTTCACTCTTCCTTAATTGCATCGATTGCATCCTTAAGTCAGTAGTACTGAGTCCACCACCTCTAGTCGATGTCTTTGAAGACATTTTCAAAATCAATTTCTGTATTGGCATGTAACTTTGTAGGTTACTTCCTAAAACCCTACTTCCTCCTTCCTATGTGGGCATAACTCAAAATTAGCAGGTTTTCGTAGGCTAACGTGCAGCTTTCTCTTCATATTTTATTGGCATAATTTGAATTGTTTACAAAATTTATATGCCAAATACAGTTGTGGGTTTGTACGAGGAGGAGGAAGGGAAGAGGGTATTTTTGAAAGCTGTTTGTAAGAAAATGTGATAAAGTCTGATTCCACTCACAGAAACTTCATTCAAAATGCCTATATGACAGTATCAGGAACTCCAGTACTGATTTCTCTGGCTGGGGTACTCTATGCTCTGTCAAAATCCTACTTGATCAACTCTGCAGGGTGGGGCCTGACTACAGGGAAAAGGCACCCCTTAAAGAGAAGGAAGAAACGTGATGAGGCAACCAGGATGAACTGGGTGAGGCAGGGAGACAACCAGCCATGAAGGACAAGGAGAGGAACTGAGCACAGGCATCTAGAGGGGAGAGGGAGATAGGCCACAGGCATAAATGAGGCTGGGGTCCACAGCAGGGGGAGAGCAGAGCCTGGCGCAAGTGAGCCTATGATATAATAAACTGGCTGGCTAAATCACATAAGGAAATATATGTTTCTGAATTCACAAATTATCAGCACAGACTATTTGTCATTTATCTTAACCTAAAATAAACACCAAAATCCAACCTGTGAATGTAAACATTTAAGTAGCTTATGTATATGCAACAAAGTCCATTGCTTAAGGTGCTGCTGAATAAAAAATGTAAAATTAAATTATTATCTTAATTGCCTCTCCTATAGAAATTACTGGGCAAATTATGGAAAAAACAAACACCAAAAAAACCCTTATTACAGTCATAAGTCCCTGTACTTAGGGAACACTGCTATTATACAGAGCCAGGAGTCACACAGGCAGCAGAAGTAGGTTTAGACAAAGCATCAAAAATACCTCAGAAAGAGATCAAAGTGCTTCAGTAAAGCCTTCAGATTCTTCTCAGAAAAGGACATCTTTCCAAGGATTTCTGGAAGTTTCACTGTGATAGAAAAAATAAAAGTAAAACCACTGATAATCAGAAGGACCTGACAATGAATAAGACAGACCCAGGCAGCATCTGGGTCCCTGTTTATTTTTATTCACACTGAAATTAACATCTACATTATCAAACAAAACCCAAAATTCTTGCTGCACAGAGTAGCTGTACAAATATCACACAGTTTCTATGAAATTTAATATTCATCCAGTGCCCTTTCCTTTGAAGCGGTTCCCCTTCAATGGATGTACATAAACTAACAAGACTCTTAAAACTGAAGCCAAAAGAAGAGAAAACGATTTCCTACCAAACAATCGCAGCAAGTGTTGTGCCCCATAAATATAAGAGGGTGGAGGTGGCTGGTCACTCGGGGGGTAACTATCAGGGACGAGTTTCCAGGAAAGGACCTAGGGAAAACGGGAATTGAATGCCTTATTAGAGCTTCAAGGTGGGCATCATCTCAGCACACAGGAGAATGTAGCGTTCTGTTGAAGAGGACCATGTTACAAAAGAATGTTCAATCTATACTTGCATAAAAGCAACCACTTAACATAATATAATTACTATGTAACAAAATGGGAAAAATATACTGAGTGTGTAAGAAATGCTAAGTGTTTGTTTCTTAGTCTTGGGATGATGACTTAGGGGGCAGAGGAGGGTATATGTATCAGTTTTCCTTATAGGTTACATGTTTGCACATGTATTACTTTTCTTCTGTAATTTTTTTCAGAACACTGGGGCCTCGGTGATGGCACAGGGATTAAAGTCTCAGTGCTATCAAGCTATCGCCAGCCACTGTGGCCTCAGTTCGATCCCCTGCCAGGGAGCTGAGCCACATGGCACAGCAGACCTGCTCACTGCTCTCCTCAGGAGTAGATCCGTGTGTTCTGCTCCCCACTCTCTCTGGTAAATCCTCTCACCCCACACACCTCTGGCCTACACCCCAGTTCTTGTAGGCATAAATAAATAAATTTTTAATTTTTTTTCAGAACATTTTTGCCTTTTAGAATCCACCTTTCTTGGCAACACGGAGACCCCTCTAATCACCTGGAAATTTTGAGACTGAATTGTACGTAGAGGGAGAAAAAATTCCCCTATATCAAAATAAACACAAGCTTACAAGAATAGACAAAAGTGGGAGAAGACAACATTAAGGAAACATTTGATTTCTGGATTCTCAACAGCTACTACATATAAATTGGCAGTAACTGTTTTGGCCATTGTAGCCCTTTCCTTTCCCTGGAAATCCTGCCGTGCGACGGAAGCAGCTTAGGAACCATTTTGACAGCAATGCTAGAAGTGAGCATAGGGCACTGCAGACCCTGGAGGCATGAGGCACACACCCATGTGCAAAGCAGATAATTCACTAGGTACTAAGCGAATCCTCCCTCGCGCCTGCCTTGCAGCGCAGTGTATCACCTCTATATGTCACAGCTAAATGGGAGGAAATAAGGATTCTAGAGGAATTCCCAATGGGGGTGTGAGCGGGAACTACCTCTGGATCATAAGCAAAGACATACATGTCTAGACCCTCCCCTGATGCGGGGGGCAGCAAAGGGCACTGGGGGAAAGTCTCCAGTGACTGGCATGCAGAGCCCTGCTTAAGACTCACCACAGTACAGGCACTTAACATGCGCACTGAATGTCTACTCAACCATCCTCCAGAGAAATCCTACTTTCACTAGAGCATGCAGCTGTTCCTACAACCACTAGATGGCAGGTTTGCACAGTTGACCAGAGTGGGAATGGTCCTGCTGGAATATTCCAACACCTTTTAAAAGAAATATATTCCCTTAAATAATATGTGTATGTCCCTGTCTGAAAAATGGGATGTCAGGGAATGCTTGGACTAGAGATTTCCTAACTTTCCTTCAACGTTACTGTAACACAAATTCGGTTTCCTAGCCTCTCTAATGGGTCAGCCAACTGTAGCCCTTGGGGCCAACTCTGGCCCAAGACACCTGACTGTGTGGCCCACAAAGCCTAAAATATTTACTCTCTGATCTTCTGCAGAAATTGCGCACCAGCAACTATTCTAGAAAATGAAAATACTCACATGGCAGCAATTGCCCTCATTTAAGATAAAAGGTGACTGTCAGTGTAGGGCTTGAATCCTAACAATTTTCTCACTTAGAAACCAAAAACGCAATGAGTGCTGCACAGTGTCATGTGAACAATTTGGTTAATTTCCACAGCAAGAGCAATGTGATGCTTCTAAGGAAGCCTGCTTTCCTCCCACAAGACTAAAGCAACCATAAAAGGAAGGGCTCACTAGGGATGAACAGCAAACACTAACTCTTTACCTCGTTTATTTCATTAGTTCTTCTGCCTTCAAAGCCAGCAAACACAGCGCTCCCCTCTTTGCTAGGGGTCAGAGGGACAGGTGAGGAGGATCGGCTATGCACAGGTGTCTCTTCAAAAGGAAAAGATGTCAATGATTTGCTGTAGATCACAGAGCCATGGACTAAAAGTCAGAACACCCTTATAAACAGCAGAGAAATTATTCATCTTTTATAGTAAGACTTTCCTATTGTAAAAGACAATACCTGGAATAAATAAGGAACTGATACACACTATACAACATGAGGAAGCTTCAAACATGGTAAGTGAAGTAAGTCACACACCAAAGCCCACATGTGCATATGGCTTCATGCATATAAACCCGTGCCCACAAGAGGCAAATCCCCTGGGACAGGAAGTCACTAGTGGTTGTATGGTTGCCCAGAAGAGTGGATTAAGGCTGAGGGGTGGGGAGTGGGGAGAGACAGAGCTAAGCCAGCAGGCACCAAGTGTCCCATTGCAGGGCTGGAGGCTCGGTAGCTCCCCTCTCTCAAGCCTAGGCTGCTAGGGCAAAAGCCTCATCAGCCTTGGTTGGGGCCAAGCTCCTGCACTGAGTTCCCACAGCTCAGTGGGCAAATATGGGGTTGACTATGAACTCGACCTGGTCTTCTCCAGCGCCAGTGCTAACAGGACACTTCAGGAGCAGGAGTGCAGGGCATGAGCCAGACCAAGTCCAGAGGACCCGCCACCCAGAATAGACCTACTCTTTTCCAGGTGCAGGAACAGCTTAGGCATGCTGGCTGATGTGTCCTGCTGCCGGCGCTTGGGCTGAGGCGAGGCGCTGCTCTCGGAAAGTCGGTCGCAGTTGGCGGAATGGCGCGTGGACCGCCTCAGAGACTGCAAGGCTTCGGGCTCTGCTTTGCGCCTCTTCGGGGTCGCTGGTTCCCCTGTGGTAGGCTGGCTCTCGGTGGACTGTGGTGTGGATGGATTCAGTAAAGGTGGGCTCGGTGAGAGCTCCTCCTGGTTCCTATGAAAGAGGGGAGAGTGATGTACCTACCCAGTCTGCACAACCTCCACAAAACCTGGAGGTTCGCTCTTCAGATGGAACAGAAAACATACTCTCAGCTCCACCGCAGGGGGGCGTACATTTTCATATCCAAATGTGCCAGAATAAGTATTCATTTAAAAAGAGTAAGCTAGATGCATTATTTAAATCTTCTCAAGAACTCTGGGAGGCATACTGGCACTGAAGATGGTGGGGCCCCTTTTGTATTTGGCTTAGAGAGGTTCTCGGGTGGGTACGAATCCATCCTGCATGGGATTCTGGCACCATCTCAACTGGTCTAGGTTGTCACACTGGGAAAGTGCTACTGCCATCTGTGGGTAGAAGCCAGGAAGATGACTCCTCAGTCTACACTGCACAGGACAGCCCCATTGCCACCAAGGAGATGGTTCCAATCACCAGCAAAGACAAGGGTGAGAAGCCCAGGCAGAGAGAAAGAGAATACCACGTGATCTCAGCACAGTCCAACTACTGGCAAGATATAAAAAGTGCTGGGTGAATGTTGTGGAAACACAGTCCACCTGACTCCAGGAACCTCGAGGATAGGACAGGATGTGAACACAGTCCTGGGTGACTCACACAGGCCTCTCACCTGAGCTGAAACCAAGGAGAAGGGAAGGCAGGCTGAGGAGAGATGGTAACCCGGTAGGGAAGCAGGGACAGGGGGAACAAAGGGAAGGCACAAGGGAAAGGAGACAATACAGAGTTGTGTGTGAACAGGAGTCAGCGTCAGGGCCTGGGCAGCAGTCAGCAGGCGAGTGGTGTGCAAAAGCAGAGACGAGCTGGCAAGAGGAGCTGCAGGTGAGGAAATCATGAGAACAGACCGCTCTCTCAGGAAGAAGAGACATGAGGGAGACAAGGAAGTATCTTCTAGAGAGGAAGGGATAGACTTCAGGTTGGGGGATAGCCCTCTTCTCTCCCCCAAATAGAGATTTGGGCACACTCAGTCACCTGGGGAAGAACATGGTGGGAAGGGAACTGACCTTCACTTGAAGGCAAAGGCAGTCAGCCCTTCACAAATTTTCTCACTTAACAACTGCCCAAGGAGGCAATGTTCTTGCATCATATGGAGGCAGAAACAAGCTCAGGAGGCACCACCCCCAAGTCCCACGACCAGTGAAGGGAGCTAAAGTCAAACCTCCATCTGCCCGCTCAGGCTGCCTCTCTTGGCCCCACTATCTTAGGAAAGACAGGACTAGCTGTTCAAAACCCAAGCGAGTTTGCCCCAGTAGCATCTTCACTTGGTAAAATCCCTCAAAGACATTTGCAAGTGAATGAAGCCCTGGCTTACCTAAGGGAAAACCCACCAGCATGGGCACTTGGCAAGGGCACTTGGTAACCGTTCCCTGTCTCCAAACATGCTGGCCCCACAGCAGCAGAAGGAAATCTTCACAATCTATTTGACCCCTGATGTTTGAGGTCTAACTGCGAGCTATCTAGCTTACCTGTTAGTGCTAGTGGCACTTTCCTTAATTGGAAGAAAAAATTTGGACGAAGTCACCTTTTTATACTGAACTTGCTCATATGGATAGAGCAAAACCAACGGGAGCGTGTAATCAAAGGTTATTCTTAATCCATCCACCATCTCTTTACAAAGATCAACGCTGGGAAGAATAAAAAGAAAAGATTAGAGAGCCAATAAAATAATAGAAATCTTCCAAAATGTCATATTCTTAATAAATATAAACATTATTAATCACACCTATCCATGTAAAGAATGGAATGAATGTGCAGATGCTACCAACAAAGAATTCAAAGGAAAAAGACCTATAATACACCCCACAGAAGCTCTGCTGGGAACGTTAAGTTACCACAATGAACACAGATGAACATGCTCAGTGCCACCGAGGAGCCCAAGAAGCCTTGCTCCCGAGGTGAACAGACACCGATCCTGAGAGCTGCAGTGACAGCCCCGTGACCTCTAGCAAGCACTTGCTTCATGTTGAACCACCGGCCTGTCTAACCGCACTCCAGCCTAGGTCACGTGAGCAAGGCAAGCTCTGAGGATGAGTACCCTGAGTACAACAAAGACCTGTTCGTAAACAAGCTTTGAAACAATTCTCATCGCTGATTCTGGTGCTACTCAAGGAAGAAGTTATCTCCCTAAATGCTATCACTGAAAAAAATTGGTGTTGATGCTGAAGCAACACACACTCTCAGTGCCTCCAGACCAGACACCTAAGCACAGTTACCAAAAATCTCAAAAAAGGGACAAAAAATTTGATATTAAATGAATTATCAATAGGTTATTTATCAAGTGACATAGTAAATGAATTCCAAATAACTGAAATGGAGACAGTGTGACCAGTTTCTAAGTGGAAGTCACTTCTCTAACATAGAGAGACTCGTGGGACAACACTTCCCCTCCCACCCAACTCACTTCTTTTCTGCTGGGACATAATGCACATTCATGCTGGCGTGTGGCATGACATGATGGTGGCGAGGCCTTTCGTTGGCTGAAAAGGCAGCATTGATAGCAAAATGCTTCACGTAGGATTCCAGTATAGTTATGATGTTGGTCTGGCACGGAAGCTTCACTAACTGTTAACAAAAACATAGATACCTGATGTGGGCACCCAGTGTCCACACCATAGCCCCAGGAAATGGTGGTCTAGTCTGTGTCACTCAAAAAAAAAAAAAGCCAATTCTCTTCAAAGAGAATCTTTCAAATATGCTCTGAGGCTCTTTTGCTTCCTTCTCCTACTGATCATGGCCCCACATAGATGATGGTATTATTTTTTTTTTTAAATGGACGCACTGATGTTCATCTTTGTGACCCACTAGAATCACCTGGGGAGCCACAAAGTCTATATGCACAGGCAGCCCCCACCACAGACCAATTATGTCTTAACTTCTTGGTTGAAGATGGACCATCAGGGCTCCCTAGAGCCAGGGCTGGGAAACCTGTGCACCTCATTTAATCAGCAGCGCAGCCCTGCCAGCAGAGAACTGGAAACCAGACTCTGCAAAACTCCAGCTATAAATTTCATTCCTTCAAGATCCTCAATTGTCTGAGCCTGTGAGTACAGAGGATGGCTAAGCACGAGCTCTATCACAAGCCCCCCGCTTTCTGTGCTCTCCTGTGTACCCGTTTTCTCCTATTGATATAGTAACAATCATCCTCAAGCTTCTTCTTCAGAACTTCAGGGATTTCTATAGTGATTGTTCTTTCTTCCATTTCCCTTCTTATGTGCAGCTCCGGTTCTTCCTTCTGCAAAATCACAATTCCACACTTAATACTTGAAATAAAAATAGTAAGCGAGTCTACAGTCAACGAAAAGTGAATGTATGGGAGCCTGCTGCAAAACCAAGCCAGTTAGCCCTCCACATTTACCCCAGTAATGACGTGGCACATGCCAGTGACCAGCACATTAAAGGCCCAAAGTGAACTTGTAGGGCCCTAACCATATCACAAATACCCCTTTCCACTCCTTCCCTGTTACAGTTTAACAGTGGGATTTATGTTAACTTTGAAGCAGGCAGAAGATGCCAAGCTCTGAAAAGTAACATTTAAAAATGAATCACCACTACATAAATAAAGCTCATCATTTCATTGGAAACAAAGTAACTAGGATTTGTGGAAACATTTTCTGGTACAAAGAGCCAAGTAGATACAATGACTATAAATAGGAGTTCTTTTCCCTTAAATATCAAGGACAACTTTACAGCATTTGGTTTAAAAATACAGTTCTACACAATGAGTCAAAGCAGTGAATTTTACCACTAAAAAAGACCAAAGAGTTTTTATAATGAAAACTTTATACCGCTTCAGTTTTTTCTTCAATATCACTCTCTTCACTTATTTCTTCATCCTTTTCTTCACTACTGTCTTCAGAGGAGCTGCTTATTGCTAGGTGAAACAAAAACATCAGGCAAAGGTGCGGTACCAACGCCCCCTTACACTGCCCACTCTTGGAGGTGGAATGTCTTCCACGCTGGTAATAATAACTGCAGTCCTGCATATATTGTAAATACTTTAGACAAATATACCCTTCAGGATAGAAATTTATTTTGAAAAATATAACACCAATTCCAATGGATGCAAAAATAATACAAGTAAGTAAATGATCTGAAAGTGTTCGGTCACCTAAGACCGATGACTCTCTGGGGTGTTCCCAAGTAGGGCCAAGACCCAGGAAGAGACAAGGAAACCTGGGTTTGGAGCGCCAGGAGTTAGCGGACAGACACTGGCTGAGATGGCAGTGGTCGAGAGCATGCTGAAGAGGTTGAACTATGGACTCAATGACTTCAAGCATCACAACGAAAAAAGGCAAAATTTCTATGGAATGAGTTGAAATGAGTCCCAGTCCAGGATTTTAACAAAATCTCCCTCAATCTTGCAGTATAAAAGAGCTAGGTAATAGGTTTTTAGCATGAGAAGATGAAGTCAGATCACTCACAGTTTTTGTCATTTTCATCTCTTTCTTCAATGGGGAGGCTTTTTAAGACAGAGTCAACACCAGGCAACCTGCAGCGTTTCTTCTTTCTTCCAGTGCTTCTGGAAAAGATAAACACGATGGAAATCAATGTTGATGGTGATGAATGTGGGTCTGCAGATAAAACAAGATATAATGACAACAATTCCTAAGTACCAGAGAAATAAACTTTAGTAGAATATAAATGGTACCATTCATTTCAGAACATTATACAATAACCTCTCTGAAAACACAGCAATTATTTAGAATACACTCTTCACATACTTTATATATATAAAGTTAATAAACCATGTTCGTCATAGTTTTACGTCATAGAAATTCTAATCACTAAGAGAAAACATGTGGAATAACATTTATGTCATGACTTTCGTATTCTTACAGGCGAGCTACAGCTTTTCTTGCCAATTTTCGCTGTAATCTCCGGTTTTCATCAGTGTCACGGAGGACATGATCTTCAGCTGCCCATCTATCCCAGCTACTCAAACAAAAAAAGAAAAAGAATGTAAAATTCCATATTTTAGTTTGATAGGAAACAAATGCTGAAAGCCCATCACAGGGACAGATAAGTCCTAAAAATTAATCACATTTTAAATAGAGAACTATCTAAATATTTTCAGATCACAAAAAGGGTAAAAATAAATTGAAAAAGGAACTTATCCAGACAAAGAAATAAGCAGAGTTTCCAGAATGACTCAGAGAATTCAAATATAATCGACTTAAAAGTAATCATTCTTTAGAATAGGCAAGGTTTGATAACAAAGCAAAAAACAGGAAATGAAGCTTTTCTACAATTGTTTCTACAACTTAAAACAAGTTTGCAATGTTTCTGCGAAGTAAAGATGACTGATTTTCACTCTAGTTTAACAAGTACTCACCTTCTGTTCCAACCATTAAAATGGATCAGATATTCTGGGATCTTTCTGCCTTTTTCGTCTTTCCCAATAATAACATCGACAATCTGAAACCAGGAAATATTGTACACCAACGATAGAACATACAAAATACTAGAAACTGATCTGGGAAACGAGAGCGAGGACTTTTTTTTTTTTTTTTAAAGAAAACTAAGCATTCTCTACTTTCTTAGACCGAGTGCTGGTTTGAAACATTTTTCCTTTCAATTCCATTTTTTTTCCCTGAGTGGATGCCTCAAAATAGGAAACGTGCCTCCAACCATCCGGTGATTGGTTCCTGAGCGTGAGAGCCAGGGAGGCTTCTGAAGCCATTGGCCGGCTCGTTTGTCACTAACAAGAGTCCAGGCCAGACAAGAGAGCCGCAGCCGAGACCTCTGGGAGTTGTAGTCTCCTGGGCTCTGCCGCGTCCAGGGCTAGGCTAGCTGTGGGATTACGCCATCCCTCCCAGCGGTGTCCCCAGAGGCAACATCTGGGGCAAATGATGGGGCGTGTCGCTCCTGGGGAGACTCTAGGCGGGGAGGGAGGAAAGACAGCAAACAGAAAACAAAGACCGGGGCTGCGGGGGCGGGGCCCCCAAGTAGAAGACTCCAGAGCCCAGATGCTTTGGGAAGTCCCCCAAAGGGCAGCGCCGCCCAGACGTGCCTTGGGCCTCGGGCCAGCAGTCACACCCCCCCTCCCCCGGATTTCGATGCCCACTCCCTCTCGCCAACCAGACCCGAGCTGCAGATGTGCCTGTGACCCCGAGTCCCCGAGGGTAGGGATAGGCTGCCCGGCCCTGGACACGATTCAGGGATTTAAAACCTAAGTGCGGCCAGGCCTAGACGGAGGAAGGTACTGTGTCGGCCTCGCTCTCGGGGTGGGACTCGCTGCTGACTGGAGGGGTCAGGCCAGGCTCAAACACTATAGGGCCCCAAGAAACGACGTCGCGAGCCAAAGGCCAGCACTGTGGCGCTACAGATTAGGACCTGGGTCGGTCGGGTCGCCCACGCGCCGCGGGACCGCGCGGGATGAGCAGAGATTGAACGCCAAGGCGGAAACCGTCGGCGAGCGCCTTCGGGACGCGCTGCCCTGGCAGGCGCCGCCGGCGCGCAAACCCGAGCCACCGTCGCGGCCCAGCTTCGCGACACGGGACGCTGGAGGCTGGCGACGGCGCACGCGCAGTCTGGCGCCCGGGGGCGGAAGCGGAAGCGCCCCGGCCCCGACTCCCCCGCGCGCGCCCCCTGCCGTCCGCGCGCCGCCGCGCGGACCCCGCTGCGCCCGGGCCCCGCCGCTAACCAGCTCCGCGCGGCCGTCCGCCCCCGCCTCCCGGCCCGGGGGGTCCCCGGCCCGCGCCGCCTCCCTGTCCCTCCGCGGCAGCACCTTGGCATCGTACAGCACTCGCGCCTTGGTGGGGTCAGGCTCGAAGCACAGCACTTTCTCCCCAGAGTGGAATTTAAATTTCATGCCCTCGCTCGCGCTCATTTGCTCATCGTGGCGGAGGGCGGCTCCGGGGCGGGCGGAGCGCGCGGTGGGGGACGGTGGGGGCGGGGAGGCGGCGCGGCGGCGGGGGGCGGGCGCGGGGACTGGCGGAGGCCGAGGCCGGCCCGCCCTGGCCCCGCCCCGCGCCGCGGCGGGACCTCGGGGCCGGGACGCCGGGCGCGCGCCCTCTGGCCCGAGCGCGGCCCCGCCGATCCCCGCGGGGCTCCGGGTACGCGGGCGGCGGGCGGGGAGAGCCACGGGCCCTGGTGGGAGAGGCTGCGAATGTCACCGTGCCGGGCTCCCGGGCTTCGGCCCGGGGCTGGGGGCGCCAGGGCGGGAGCGGATCTGGGGTGGGCGCTGCCCGCCCCCCTCCCCCAGGCTCCCTAGCTGCGCCGCGTCCCCCCGGGCTGGAGTCAGGTCCAGGCTAGGGCTGGTCTGGGCGGGAGTGGAGAAAGCCTCGGCGGCATATTTGGACCACCTGCGGGTGGCAGGTCTGGAGCCCCTCAGTGACAGAGGGTGAGCAGGGGGCGGCGATGCTGGTGGCCTAACCACGTCGTTAGCATCTGAAGACTCAGCTGCCAGCCCGCTGCCCCAACCCTCTACCCGCTCCTAGTCGGTCTTTCCCACACTGAAAGCCCCTAAAGGCGGGCAGCCCTGCCAAGCCGGTACTTCCAGGTCCCTGCACCGCGGCGGGGGAGGGGGGGATGCTCAGAATACGCTGGATGAACCACGACTGTGTGTTGAGACTCCTGAAGGCTGAACCTCGGGGAGACCGGAAAGGCGGTGCTGGTTTTTTGTTTTGTTTTGTTTTGGGTTTTTTTTCATTTGCGGAATAAAACTCTTTGGGTGGTGCAGTACTGGATTCAGCTTGGAGGCAAGGTCTGAGGTCGTAGGGAACTGTCAATTCTCCAGGCTCCAGAAATTGCACTTGCCGCCCTCTTCGCTGGGTTCCTGGTACACAGCCTTTCACATTTCGGAGTGGACATTGCCAAGAGAAAAATGAATCGTACCCTCACGGGTATTCCCTCCCAGTCCTCTCCTCAGCCCTCATTTGCATTTTCTGCTTTGCAGTAGAATGGAGTGTTCTTTGCAAAAATGCTCTCTCTACTAAGATGCTTGTCTCCTTGGAGCTGGGGGTCGGGGGTAGGAGCTCACCCAGTTAATTGCATGCTTCGGGCACACAATAAATATTTAATGAATGAATGAACAGATGACATATTTATGAAATAGAATCCACAAAACTCAGTGATCGATTCGATGTGAAGGGAGAGGGAAGAAGGAATCTGGGGGACTAATAGATTCTCTGGCATCATGAGTTGGGTGAGAGATCCTGTGGTCAGGTCAACGGGTATCAGAACAGGACCACCCTGTTACAGGGTGACAGTGGCCAGATCTGGACCTGTGACTGGAGTTATGTGTGGGAGTCGGAACTGGAGTCATACTTCCTGTGCAGGCTGTGGTTGATTGGATATACAAAGAGATGTTTTTATTAACTGAACTAACATTACATTGTAACACTCTGAGTTTCAGATGTGCGTTCTTGAGACTCAGCATGTGTATACTAACACTAAGTTCACCACTAAACATCTGATTCTATTCACATACCCGTCCCCTTTTCTTACGCTGCAAATGAAGGTAACGGTGGCTCCCCACATTACAGGGTTGTCTAAGGAATAAGTCAGCCTATTCAGCATACATGTCTTAGTGTAGCGCCTGGTGTATAATGAGTGTTCGGTAAAAGCTTGCCCCTCACTTATTCATTCAACAAATATTTCTCGGGCTTTTTGTGTGCTGGACACAAAATCGTATACGGATAGGCCCCTGGCCATAAAAAGGACACATTTCCACAGGGACAGCAATGCAAGCAAGTGCTCTCTGATAAAGCTGGGAAGAGAGCGGTAACAGAGCTTCCAGGTATGTGCCTAGGCCTGGGGGGAGGGCAGGGGCACTCTTGGTAAATGAGAAACTGAGGCCTTTAACCTTGGTAGAGCGGTATTTGAGCAAAAATCAACTTGAACCGGTCTAGCTGCCTGGGTTCATTTTCCCAGTCGGACCAAGCCCAGTGTCCCAGTGGAGCCCGGTTCTATTTTCCAGTCGGACCCGGCCCAGTGACCCAGTGGAGCCCGGTACTATTTCCCAGTCGGACTCTGCTTAGTGTTCCCAGTGGGACCCGGTTCTGTTTCCCAGTCGAACCGGGTCCATTTCCCCAGCGGACCCGGTTCGTCTTCCCAGTTGGACCCTGCCCAGTGTCCCAGTGGAGTCCGGTTGGGTTCCCAAATCTGAATCCGTTGAACCCTGGGCCCAGCCCGGAAGAGAAAGGCTCGTGGCGAGGACGAAGCGCCCCCTCCCCCCCAAGGCAGAGCTATGGCGCTGGGGTCCTGGAGCCGCGAGGGCCGAGGCCCGCACCCGCACCCGAGGCGGCGCTGCTCACTGGCTCCCAGGTATGCCCGCCTGCGCCCTCTGCGCTCCTCCTGGTGCCTCTTAGGAGAAGAGATCAACTGAGGCCTAGTAAACGCAAACGCTTTCAGGGTTACTTTGAGCAAACACTGATTCCCATAGGGGGGTCCCCAGCCGGAAGGGGTTAGGAGCTCGGACTGACTTATAGGGAAAAGGCAGAAACAAAGCAGGTTGGCGATGTGCCGTGGCGGGGGGGGGGGGGGGGGGGGGGGTTGACCTCGTGAGCGTGAGGCCTTGACAGGTTCAGATTTTGTGGGCTTACTCTTACTCTGGCCTCCAGTCACATGCCCTCTGCGTTTGATTAACTTAACACTCCTGAGCTGAAGTGTATAAGTCATTTCCCTGTGGTTGTGCAGATTAGAGGATTAAGAAAACCATCCTGTCTCCTAGAACGGAAATCGTTCTCATAGTAGAAAGCGGGGGAGGGGGGGACCTGCAGAGGTCCCTTCTCAGCTAAGAGTTGTGTCCCTGAGCGCAGAGCCTGTTAGTTAATTGCTCACCCATGACCTTCCTTGCCCTGTTTCTGCCCCATCATTGCTGGCTGAGCCCCACTTTTATTCAGGTGTTTGTCCTCCCAAGTTCCAGGGTCCCCTCCCCCACCTCCAAGGTTAACGGTAACACTGGATTAGGCTACTGTAGCAAAGCTGGGGTCTGATTTGGAATAGCTTAGAAACTTTTAAAACCTACTGTTGCCAAGCAGTGCAATTTTGTTTCCACAGCTCCCCTGTGATCCCAGTGTGCAGGTGCAGCTGAGAACTCCTTTCCCAGTCACTCCGCTTAGTGCCGCCATGAGATATACCCCTCACCAATGCGAGTTTTCAGAGAGAAACTGGGGGTAGGACATTTGCAGTAAAAGATTCCTCCATCCCCACCCACCCCCACCAAAGGTCCACATGGCATAAACTTTTCTCAGCCTCACTGGGCTTTTTTCTCTGCAAGGGAAGGTGGGTGGGGGCTGCAGAGGTCTTGACAGCATGGTGCCAGGCATCCCAGATGCCCTGAGCATAAGGGTTTGCTCACCTGGGTCCTCATGTGTTTGGAGCCTCTGACTTTTGAATTGACTAATCCAGGTGTCTTGCTATGCAGTATCATAAAACCCTGGTGCAGCCAAAACTGTCCTGATTAAACCTCTTCAGCAGTGGTAAAGCCTTGCATTATTGGCACCGGAGCACTATCTGAACTGCTCATTTTGGTGCTTTTGGTGAGATTGACCTCCCGTGGTGAGAATGCATTTTTTACCTGGAGACCAAAAACATTAGTAACTATGTATTTGAAGTGCTTCACATGCATTCAATTAAATTGGCTTTGGGGCCAGAAAGAAAAAGAAAAATACTGGATTGTCTCACTCATAGCAGGAATCTAGAAAACTTAAATAAGGGACCAGGCAAATGAATAACTATAAGAAAGTGAAAATCAAAATCAACAAAAAAACTATGAACCAGAGACACTTTTTGGGGGTTGGGGGGCGGAGGGGAGGGATTGGGTCAGAATGGGGGGTTGCAATTGTATGGGGAATATAAAAATAAAATTTATTCTTTAAAAAAAAAAACACAAACACACCTTAAAAAATAAAGAAGAAATTGTGCTTTCACTGATAAGTAATTCATATTTCAACATATTATTAGACAGAGATGTTTAATTTTTCTCTCTCTTCAACAACTAACTTCTACATTATTTGTGTTTGTGATAGCTAAGGCAAGAGTGGGAATATCATAAGATGTTTAATATACTTAGGAGAAGATGAGAGGATGAGAGAAAAAGAGAGAATGGAGAAAAGAATGATTACAAGGCATATATGTGAAGAACATTATTTAGTAAAGTCTGCACAGGTTTACACAATATGGCTTCTACTTATTCATGTTGCTCTCTTGTCAAATTGTTGTTAGATATTGAATTGCTTTGGAGTATTTTTTCTTCTACAGTATGCTTTCTATATATCCAACTGCCTGCTTTTAAATAAATTTAATTTCCTTTAAAAAAATAAATTGGCTTTGGGGGTGAACGGTGAACTAGTGACCATTTTTATGATTTGGTTTCAAGTGGAATCTCTATATTGGTGACAAACTTCAAATGCATTTCTGGGATAAGACATCAATAAATGAGGAACAACCTATGGCCTCACAACTTTGACTTTACAACTAGATACTCCCCCCTTTTTTTTTTTTTGGTCTTAGGTAATAATGCATTCTAAGAAAATGTTGTGTGGTTAACAGAGATTCTAATAAAATGTTGTAGTTCTCCTTTTACAAAAGTCACAAAGCTTCTTAATCCTCAATCTGTGGTGGTGCTTCTTGGCTCCCAACCCTAACTTTTCATGCTATGGGGATGCAGTTCAAAGGTGGTTCCATTGTGAAGAAAGCCTTCTAGAGTATTATCATACATGTCTTCCAGTTGAAGACCCACAGGAACACACCTGTCCAGCTTGAATGGAATAAGTGAGATTGTCCGCTTGCTACAGCCAGAAAGAAGGCATGCCACAGTCAGGGGCAGTGAGGCCTTATTGCAAAGTTTGGGCTTGTGTTAGGTGATCTGGGGAGGGGAGGGCTGAGGAAGTGGGGCTTTCTCTGGATTGGATGCTGGAAAGAAG